TATTTAGGCGAAGGGCCTATAAGCTAGAAATCTAAATTGCAGTCTATAGTAGCTTAAAGTACTACCGAGGCCGAGTATATAGCTATAAATACCGCCTCTAGAGAAGCTATATATATAATAGCCTTAGTTAAAGAACTAGGTTTTTATAAACAAAATAAGTTCCCTTTATATACCGATAATAACGGAGCTTTACTATTAGAGTATAATCCTATATACCACGAACGTACTAAACATATAGCGGTTAAATACTACTATATAAGAAATCTTATACTTAATAACTATATTATATATAAAATCGATTTTATATCTACCTTTATATACGGCGATATAGATACTAAGATAATATTAAATCTACCTAAAGGAATTAAAGAATATCTAAATATATATTCTAATATCGATACTAGTAATATATTACCATTACTAAATAAAGCACTTTACGGCTTAAAATAATCGGCTAGAATCTAGTATAATACTTTAATTAAAGTATTAAAAGAACTAGGTTATAAAACCTTAGAAAACAAATCTTATATATACTATAATAGTAATAGTAATATATATATTACTATATATATCGACGACCTAGCTATTATAGGTTTAGAAACTAGTAAAATACAAGATTTAGTTAAGAACCTTAAAAAACACTTTAAGATTAAGGAATTAGGTTTAATAAAAGATTACTTAGGAATCGAAGTTAATATAAGTAAAGATAATAAGACTATAAAATTAAGTTAAACTACTTATATTAATAAAATATCATATAAGTTTAACTTATCTAATATAAACCCTATTTCTACGCCTATAGATTCTAAAGTAAAGTTAGTTAATAACGATAAACAAGCTAGTAAAGAAGATATTAAGTTATTTTAATCTATAATAGGTTGTTTACTATACTTATTACTTTGTACTAGAGTCGATATAGCTTATTCTACTATTAAACTAGCTAGATTCGCTTCTAATCCTAGTACTATACACTTTACCGCTATAAAGCGTATACTAAGATACTTAAAGGGTACTAAGGATTACTACATTATATATAGTAATAACGGTAGTTAATATATTAGCGGTTATTATAACTCCGATTTTACCGGAGACTTAATTAACGCTAAATCTACTACCGGCTATATATTCTTTATAGCCGGAGGCGCTATTAGTTAGAAAACTAAGCTATAAATTATAGTAGCTTAAAGTACTACCGAAGCCGAATATATAGCTATTAACGCTACCGCTAAAGAAGCTATATATATAATAGCCTTAGTTAAAGAACTAGGCTTTTATAAATAAAATAAGTTTCCTTTATATACCGATAGTAGTAGCGCTCTACTATTAGGTTATAACCCTATTTTTCACGAAAGACTAAAACATATAGCGGTTAAATATTACTATATAAGAGACCTTATATTAAAAGGTACTTTAGACCTTATATATATATCGACAAACAATTAAAAAGCGGACGGCTTAACTAAAGCTTTAGATAAAAACAAATATCTAAGCTTTTTAAGACTTATAAACTATATTTAGTTTACTAAGCCCTTAGTTTTACTATAATAAGTTATATTTCAACTATATAACTAACTAGTAACTAAGGAAAACTAGTTATATTAGGAATATACTATTATAAGTTATATTATAACTTATACTATAACTTAAGAATCTAAGAAATACTTAAACTAAGTAAAATACTTAAAATAAGTAAAACACTTAAAATAAGTAAAATACTTAGTGTTAATATACTATACTAGTATAGAAACTAAGTATTACTTAAGTTATACTTAATATATACTGTATTAGAAACTATATTACTAGTAATATTAACTATTATTATAATATACTTAAAAAGGTTGGAATTAAGGTTTTTTACTACTTAAGTTAGTTTTCCTTAGAAAATAAGAAAAGAATAAAAATAAGATAAATATCTATTAAGGGGTAGTATTAGTTTTATATATAATATATAGTAATAAATACTTATATTATTCTCTTTCTATACTTAATTAGGTTAAGGCTTAGTAGTACTATAGTTTAAACTAAGTCTATATATTCTTATTATTTCTATTCGTTAGAGATAAGAATAGTAATGTAGTAAGCCTTAGTAATTTAGCCGGCATATAGGTGTGTGTAGCGCTATTTAATCTAATAGGCTACTTTATATAGTATAGATATCGGCACTTATACTATAGGCTAGTTAGATATCTAAAGATATCGGTAGTTATACTATAGGTCAATTAAATCCCTTAAGATATCGGCAATTATACTATAGGTTAATAGTTTAGCTTTAAAGCTTACTAATAACTTATTCTAAAGTTTATATATAGTTAGAAATCCCCTCTATAGTTTTAAGTTCTTTAAGTAAAATATATACTTTTTATATTTTATTAAGTTATCTAGTCTTTATTACGCTTTATCCTAAATTTTACCTTCTATACTCTATATAGAGTATAAGCTTTAGCGAGACTAGTTTTACGTCTATATATAAAAGTTACATAACTATATAAAAGTAAAGAAATAGTCTATAGTATTCTTAACTATTCTAAAGTACTCTAATATACTTCGAAGTACTCTAATATATTTCGAGATATTTCGAAGCTTTTTAATACTATAAAATATTAATTTACTCTTTTTATTTAAGTAAATTATACTTATTATTAATACTAAAAGCTAAAACTAAAGTATATACTTTAGAAGATATTAGAGTATATCTAAATAGTTTAGAGTACTTCTAATTAGTTTAGAAAAGTTTTTAAATAATACTTAAGTAAAGAACATTTTTTAATATATATTTAATATATAATTAAATAAACTTTATATTTTATAGTAAAGGCGTCTAAGTACTTATCCTCTAAGTTAAAAAATATATAATATATTTATTATAGAAATTTTATAAAGTAAATCTAATATTATCTAGTCTACTTTAATATCTAGATTACTAGATAGATTATATAGCTCGAGATATAGAACTAGAAGTTTAGAATAATAATAACTTACTAGTTATATAGTAATATACTTTAACTATCTATAGAAAGCTAGCTCTATTAGAGAGAAGATAATATTATAATTTATACTTTCTCTCTTATAAGATAGCTTACTAATAACTAGCTTACTACTACTATATCTCTCTTTTAACTTTTATAACTATAAGCTTAAATCTTTTTTAGTATAGCTCTTAATTAACTATTTATATAAGATAACTTTCTAATCTTTAGCTTAGCTTACTTTAAGTCTAGCTTACTATATAAGTTATATAACTAGTACTAAGACTCCTAATATCTCGCTTAATAAGTTATATATAGACTCTCTTACTTACGGCTTTATAAAAGCTTAACTACTATTAAAGTTCTTATCTTCTTTTTTTTTTTTTTTTTGTTTTATAATAGTATTATATTTATTTTAAGCTATACTTCTAAAGTTCTTAATTATAATGTATATAGAGATAATTTTTAAGTAAAAATAAAAGCTATTAACTTTTACTTAAATATATAAGCTCTCTAATAACTACTCTTATAAATTAAAAGATAAAAGTATAAACTTTAAGTATTTCTATAGTAGAAACCTTAGTTTAAAGATTTAATTATAAAAGATTATTTCTAAATTCTTTAATAAAATCTTTAACTTTAAATATATTTTAACTATTTTTAGTAGAGATAGTCTATAAGTCTTATTATCTACTAGTATACTATAAATCTAAGATAATTAAATACTATAAAAGAAGTTAATTTATTTATTTTTAGTATAGCTAACTAAGATAAAGACTAATACTAAGTTATATATATAAATATTTTATTAAAAATCTACTAAGTAATTATTTATTCTACTAAGTAAACCTTATAAGATATTAGATAAAGATATTATATAAAGTAAATCTATAGTCTTGTTCTTATAGTATAGTTTAAACTCTTTATTTATAACTACTTTTAATAGAAAGTATTATACTTTATAATAAGTATATTTTATAGTTATTACTTTAATTTACTATAGTATTTAATAAACTATAAATATAGACTAAAACGTAATTAGTATAATAATATTATAAATATTCTTCTTAACCTCTAGTTTAAGTTAAAATATAGCTACTTTAGCTATAAGTAAAACTATCTTCTAGATTTCTTTATTATTTAGATATAGAATTCGTAAGGTAAATGTTTTTAGTTTTTAAAGAGGTAGATAGTCTGTTAGAAGTTCGGCTGTAAAAGTAGAACTTAGGTTTTTAACTCTTTGAAGTCTACTATCTTCTTGTTATTATCGTCACATTTGTAATTTTGAAATGTTTTGAAGTGTTGATTGTTAGTTTCGTATTGTGTTTGTTGTAAATGTGGATTATAGTTACTGCGTAATGAAAAGAAGAAGTGAAGTAGCGGAGATAGAGCAACTATTGATACTTCTAGATTCCTGTCAAGGGTGATTCACGAAGCCATCGATATTCAGATATTAGACATTTTCATAGAGGATCACTCGGGCTGTCAAAGGATATTAGCAAGACTATTTATGAGTTTCCGGACATGAGTCCGTCTCAGCAGGACAAAGATCTGCTTCGGCGTGAGCTCATGGGAAGCCACAGATGATTAAATTGTAGTCTCATCCAAGAGTTGGTGAGTACATCTAAGCACACCACTGACAGCCCAGTACACCAATCCAGAGATGATTGCTTCCACGCTTCAGTTGACAAGATACTTGGTAGGGGATTCTCGATTGTGACACTTGAGAGTGACTAGGCTACAGTAAGAGCGAGATGTGTTCCTGCGCCAGCATTAGCTGAATCGGCGGCTGGGTACACACCATATGAGGAGTTATGTGTTACTTGCAGACATTCATCCTAGAAGACAAAACATATCCAATCCCAGGTCTGTCGGGATGATTTGAGAACACAACAATTGAATTAAATCATGTCAGAGCCTATACTTGTCGAGAAACCGTGTGAAGCGTCTACTAGCCGTATTATGGTCTACTACGCTTGAGTTGTAAGTAATGAGTTGATGAGTCGGTGGCATAGACGGGGTAAAATTTTCATCCTATATTCCAGGTTTTGCTAGACTTCCCTCGGCCTTGACTTTTGCCTCCATCTTTCTCCTCGCAGCTAAAATCATTTCCTCTTTCCTCCTTTGCATCAAGACCTGTCGTTCCCCTTTGTTTTGACTCCAGCCTTTCCTCTGCCCGTCCTCGTTGAACTCTTGCTCCGAACCAATCTTATCTCTCAGATTGTACCTCGTGATCAGATCTGGCTGTAACGGTTTTGACGTTGAATTCGACGTCGCTGTGCTAACAGGCGCGCTTTGAACTGGAAGAGGGGGCTGGAAACTCGGAGGAGGCTGGAAAGGGAGCCATCAGCATAACTCTTCCGTGCCACAGTGGAGTCACGAATAACTTACAGTTTCCAACCCTCTACCACTGAGAACTCTTTCCGTAGTCGCAGCAACATTGCCACCATTCCTTTGTAAATCCCACATGATGCTTCTTCTTGGAACCTGAGGAAACATTTGCTGAACCGTTTCCACATCCGCCTCCCTAGCCCTTACATTATGAGCGCTCGTTCTTCCTACATTACTTCCACCGGTCCCTTCTGCCGCTGCCCCAAAGTAGAAATATCGTATAGCGAGACCGCCGAGTAGGATGATTAAAAGGAGTTGGGGTACATTGATGGTTTGATCTGCCATGATAGTATTCGGTCGACCGACCGGTGGAGGAAGACGTCGTGAGCAGTGCCAAAAGAATGGTCGCAGAACGCTATCGATGAGACAGCCTGTGCCAGAGCAAGTTCTGTTGATGTCGAGCGAGGTGCAACGAGGTTAATGAACGGATCGTGTGGCGTTAGGCAGTGTGAAGCAAGATATTCACCTCACAGCTGGAACTTGGTATGACGGAGTTGTCCAACAAACGAGAAGAGGCATCATCACGTGAGAGATTCAACCCCGAGCCCGTCAATTAGCAGTAGTTAGGTAGGATCTAGTAGAACTCCCATGCAACAGAAGAATTTAATATGGAATTAGATTAGTCAAGTCTCACGCAGCAATTGTGTTGATATTGGATGGCTTCGGCGAAACAATTTATTAGTTTCTTGCGCTAATTATGGTTTAACTTTGTGTTGATATCCTTCACTATGTCTATCTCACAGGGTCACGATCAAAGTCATGTACTGAGAGAGATTCAATATGGCACATTCGTAATTCGCGATGGTGGCCCATCACAATAGAATCTGATGCCATTATCAGCAATATAGCTTGTACAGACTTGAATTCGATAGTCTTGTCCATTCCTTCCTGCACACGGTCGGACAGATAGCGACGTCAAGCTAGACAAGCCCACCCCGACCCCCGGTTGGTAGACTCTCGAGATCATCATAAATTAGTGTTAGTTCTCGCTATGTGAGGGTCAGTAAGTTTTCATAACTGATGGCATACCACCTACTCGTTCTCGCTGCCACAACTTGATATCAAAGAAAATGTAGTATCCTCTCTCCGTGCCATTGCCGAGTGTTTGTGGAACCATCATGTCATCTTTGGTCAGCCATTGCTGCAATTTCTTATGGTAGCGCCAATTACGAGTATGTCTATGTCATGGTCATGTCAGTTTGCCGGAAGCCAGTGAGGAAGACAAGTCGTGACCTACAACTCTTGAGCCGCCATAACTTGCTGCATATCACCCGGGTTGCTGTAGAACATGAAAATCAAAGCTTCATCATTGAAGTTCTGGATTTTTGTCTCCAAAGAATTTACGTTGTGTACACGATAGCAGTCGGGGATATCATAATGTGGAATGGAGGGCCTACTAGGCTCACTATCCCACAGGGAGTATATCTCGGTCGAGAAAGGTCTAACACGATTTAGAGAGATGACCGGAGACAGACAAGGACGACTTACTCGGATGAGTTTAGGTCAAAGCCAAGATTGGTGATGTTGGAACCGTTAACGAGGGCGGAGTAGTCCGGGAAGTTGTTCATCATGAAAGACCATCCTTTTAAACCCCAGCGATCGCTGTCAGACATATGGGATAACGGATCCTGAACTTCGGGACTGGGGTCATCGGAATCGTCGTGTAATGCTTGAGAAGTGCCCTCGGCCCCTTGAGATCGTCGTACCGGGTTCTCATGCTGCGGAGATGCGCCATCGGGCTGAGATACTGCACCGAGACTCATGTTAGATTGTGCGTCCTTTTCATCGTGTATCACACTGGTAGGAAAGTTCGACTCCGTAAAGGTCTTAGATTCTTTAGCTTGGGCACCTTTTAACTTGCGATTCACCTACGGTTCCATCCTCCCCTGCTCCACCATGATGTGTTCGGCCACTCTGTATTGGCGATCTCGAATTAGAAATGGCTTGAAAGCGACCCGTGTCAGCCAAATTACACAGTGATGGAAAACAAACTTTAAAACAGTGACCGACCTGACAGGCTTGTGGGAGATGCAACTCTGTTACCTAGTCTGCTACTCCCAGACAGCGCATTCAGTAATCCGTTATTACGACTGGTCTGAGGTGGATTTGTAGACCCGAAGCCTAGTCCGGTCGCTTGGCTTGAGAACCCGGAATTTTGCATTATATTTGAACCTCGATCTGAGCCAATGTCACCGTTGGCGTTACGGTTCAAAGGGGGGAACTCGTCGACGTTGTTTGACTGCGAAGCCTGCCCGACTGCATTCTGATTACCAAATCTAAATCCACCCTGACTACTGGATAGTTGCGAGTTTGCACTGAATAGGTCGTCTGGCTGCTGCTGTGCTTGTTGCTGTGAGTTTAGTTGCTGCTGCGCTGAAAGAGCCGCCTGTTGCAGCCGCAAATTCCCAGATGACGCGACAGTCCTACTTCCTGGAGTAGCCCAAGTTGATTGGCTTGGTTGAGGTTGGTTGTTTGATAACGTTGGAAATTCTCTGTTACTAAGGGTTAGCAATCTACAATGCGATATGCAATGAAATTGGCGTCAAGCTGCGGCGCGTATATCGCTTTCCGTCGAAACGAACAGGTACATCCGGTCCTGGCACTCACGATAGGTCCAAGGGCGCTGCCGACTGTGAAGAGGCTCCAATTGTTTGTGCAAAGCTTGTTATAGGTCCATTCGTCTGTCGAGAGGCTGCCAAACCTGCATTTCCCATCGGTACTCCGCCACCAAATGCCCAAGTTGCACCATTGCTCGCTATAGTCAAAGTCAGTGCCAACACCTCTATCGTCCTCATGCCACGGCACAAGCCTCAAGGAATATCCCATACGCATCTTTGCACCCTGAGGTAATCTGCCTGAGACGTTTCGATTCTGTGGTAGTTGTTGCTGACTTGGGAACCCATTCGGTAGGCCGCGAAGGGCTTGTGGTCCAACAGCTATACATTTAATTCACCAGTCAGTAATGATTTAGTCCACGCCCGCCGCAGTGATTGAGGATCGATGTTCGTGATGGAGGCAACAAAAGAAGTCATCATCCAGATTGTACACCCTTCATGTGTCCAAAGAGGTAGGCTATGTACTAGAAATTTCGAGTGTACGGTGGCTCCGCAGGCTCGGTTCGACATCAACTGAAGTCGTTCGCTGTTCGAATTGTAGATCGATCGGCGCGTTCAGTGAACAGAGGTGCTATATTATGCTATGTGTACAACGAATCGATGGCGAAGAGAAAGGAGACGCCTTGATGTTGGACACAGAGGCTAGGTTTATACAGTCCCAAACCATAATGCGCCTGGCATATGGCTGACCACAAACAGAGTCCAAAAATGTTCGGGACCGGAAGCGAAAACAACGACAATTGATGAGCATACCTGGTCGATTCATGACTGTTGTATTTCGTGCCGAGTCGCTAAATGACCTGGAAGTATTTGAGTTGTGAAAACTATCGCGAGGTGAGGCAGGAGGCTATAATTCGATGTACAGAAACTGTAGGCGTTGACCCAACGCGCTAGGGTCACCGCACTTAGCGCCTCAGATCCCAGGCATCAATGTTATTTTAGCAGCGTACCCGCTTTAACACTACCTCGCGGTGGACATTAAAAGTGGCAGTCCGTGCATTTTGTTACCCAAAAACACAACTTTTCATAATTAATTATAAAATAACTACGAATTATATAGTCTTATAATTTAGAGTATAGATAGATTAATACTTTAGATTTAGAAATATCGACTTTATTTTAAGTAACTTTATTTATAACTTATCTAAGAAGAGGCTACCGGTAAACAAAATAAGAAGTTATCCTTCTTACCGTAGTTTTACCGGCCGAAAAATATTTACCTAAAGAACTACGTTAATTCTATAAGGATTTAATATTTATAATTAAAGAAAAGTATATATTACTAGAATTTAGGTACTTCTTTCTAAGTAGTTATAATTTTAGAATTATACGACAAAAATTTCGTATACTATTACTTATCGAAAGTTATGTTTTTAGGTAACAAAATTGTAACAATTTAGTTCTACCCGGGGTAGACTAGAGTTATTGTAAGGTTAGTATATAGAGAAGTAGGCGTAAGACTATTATTTATAGATTCGGAGATCTATTTATTATAATAAGAGTAAGTTAAATAGATAATATACTATTACTATAATAAGTTAAGTATAAAGCTTCTACCTAAGAAAATTATAGTTATTATATAAAACTTCTTACTCTACTTAAGTTCGCCGGTTCGCTAGTCGAACTAGCGAACCTCTATTTAGTTTACGAGTTTACTAGTTAAACTAGCGAACTTTCCTAATTACGTAATAGAGCCTAAAACCGGGGCCTACCTACTAACCCGATTATAACTAATATTAACTAAATTAAGTTATTAGACAGCGGTCCTAAGAACTACTTAATTCCCGTAACTTTACCTAATCCTAGAACTTTTAGTCCTAGGAGTATTATAAAGCCGAGGCCGATACTACTTATAATACTATTCTCTATTCGGACTAGTAGGTCTATACACTTAAGTACGACTAAGAAATACGTCGGTTAAAGGCTATAGACTTCTCTTCTTTCTAATATACTACCCGACTATATAACTAAACGTTTTAATACTATAGCCCTTAGTAAATAAATTAATCTAACTAGAAAGAAGATAGCGTCTTACTCTCGTTATAAAAAGGCGAGAAAAGAGTATATAGTCTCTCGAGACCTAAAATATAGTTATTATAGTATCTATATATCTTCTAGTAAGTTGTAACGATTCGGTTCTCTACCCGATAGTAGACTAGAGTATTATAGGGTTAGTATATAAGTAAGTACGTATAAGATTATTAGGTTATATACTTAAAGGTATATTCGTTATAATAAGAGTAAGTTAAATAGATAATATACTATTACTATAGTAAGTTAAGTATAAAGCTTCTATCTAAGGAAATTATAATTATTATATAGGCCCTTCGTAGTAGGCCGGTCGACTTAGTTACTAGTCGACTAAGTCGATAATTACTCGAGTCGCTAGTCGACCTAGTCGACTATAATATATAACTTTCTTCCTAACTAAGAAACTAGAGGTTAACTAACTATCTTACGGTTTACCTCTATAACCCGTGTAATAAATAAGTAACTTATAGTTTCTAAAACCTAGTAGTATCTAGAAGGGCGCTCCTAGGAACTCTCTTGCCCTAAGACACTTGTCCTAGGTTACGCTAGGTCCTAAGGGCTCTACTCTAGATCTAATTACGTCCTAAACCTAATACTCTAGGGCTCTCTCGACTCTAGAGTCGTAAGGTTTCTAGATACTACGTATATAATACTACCCTCTATTCGGACTAGTATATTCTTATACTTAAGTATAACTAAGAAATAGATTATATAGTAGCTATAGACTTTCTTTCTTTCTAATATACTACTTAAAAGAATAAACGATCGTCGCTATATTTCCTTAGAAAATTTAATCGAAAAGACTAGTAAAAGAAATATAGCTCCTTACTCTTATTACGAGAAGAGTAAGTATCTATATATTACGCCCCGCGATATAAAGTTGTCTCGATATACTAAGTATACTTATTAGGGTAAGACTTATAACGTCTACTAAGTTAATAGAATACTTAAAGTTTTCGAGTAAGAATCTCTAGAAAATAAGAGGCGAAAGGTATACACTTTAAAGAGGTAAGAGATAGCCTATCTATAAGAGGCGTCCGCCTAATTATAGAGGCTTAAAAAGAAAGAGGATACTCTAGATAAGAAAGAGTAGAGAATAATTATAGCCGGTCTTAACTCGCTAGACGAGTTAGACGAGTTAGAGAAGAGAAAGTAAAAAGAAAAGAAGAAGAGAGAGAGAGAGAAGAGAGAAGTAGAGGTAGAATAACTACTAACCTACTTTACCTCGCCTAATAACTTCTCTACTTATAATTCGTCGCTACTCGATCTAAATTTCGATTCTAGGTCTTTTTAGGAGGCCCTAGATACTAGTAGTAGAACTTCTTAAGCTACTCTAGGTAGTTAAGGTTATTTATTAGTTCTTACGTATTTTCTAATTATAGGTAGTCCTTTTATTTTATTAGATAATATAGTTTTCCTCTAATAAGTTTATAGTCTAAGATTCTTTTAACTTTATACTTAGTATTAGGGTTTACTAGTTCTATTTCTATAACTAAAGCTAGTAGCGCTCCTAGTAGTACTAGTTTAAGAAGAGATATATAAAATACTAGAAAGATATTTATACTTTTTAGTAGAGCTAGTTTATAATTTAAAGGTCCTTTATACGTTTTAATTTTAAATAGTCTTAGTTTCTTATTATCTAGTTTATCGCTTAGTTATTTTATTTAGATATTTCGTCTAACTAAATAAACTCTATCCCTCTCTCTTAGTATAGGCTCCTAACTACGTTTCTTATTATAGTAGAACGTATTTTGTTCTAAGATAAACTTAAGTTCTTTAATAAGTTATTTATAAAGAGAGAAAAGATTATTAATAAGAATTCTTTCTACCTAACTATCGATAGATACGTTATAAGGTTCTTAGAATACTATTTTCTTATAACTAAAGTTAGCTTTAAATAGCGATACTTATATTATCTCTATAGCTATACTATTATATAAGAACTAGGCTATTAGTAGTAAGGCGACCTAATTATCTTATTTATAGTTTATATAATACCTTAAGTATACTTTAACTACTTAGTTTATTCTTTTATTATCTCTATTAGTTTATAGATAGAATAATATTAATAGCTTTTACTTTACTTCTAAGTAGATAGTTACGGCTATCTAGAATTTAGATATAAATAGTTTATCTTAGTCTAAGACTATTTCTTCTAGGGTACTATAGTCTATGACTATATAATAAATAAAAGTATATACTAACTCCTTAGTAGTACTTAACTTCTTATAAGGTATTAGGATTATATACTTAGTAAGTCTTTCTATTATAACTAGAATCGCGTTATATTTAACTTCTATTATTAGATCTCTTAATAGTAGAAGTTTAATAATAAAGTTCTATAATATTATTTTCTATAGTTTCTTCGGGATAGTATAATAGGGCAGACTTATTTCGGGTTATAGTTATTCTATTTCGGGTTTATATATTAGCTCGTTACTAGATAGCTTCAAAATATTATCTTCTTTACTTATTAAAACCTACCTCTTTTATTATCTTAGTTATTTATATTTACTATATACTAGATTATATACATCCCCTCGTTTATATTAGTAACCTATATAGGGAACGCTTTAGTAATACTTATTTAATTATTATATTAAGAAGTTATAGAGTTTTATAAGTAAAGAATTTTATACTTATCTATTAATTAACCTCTTAATTTAAAGCTAAAGAGAGAGTATTTAAGAGCGGCGAGACTCGTTTAACCCTAAATAATCTAGTTTTAAGTAGCTTAAGAACTAGTAAGGTTAAGAGTAAAAGGGTAGTAGAGACTTATTTCGGTATACCGGATTAGGAACTTATACTTTCTAAAATAGCTAAGAGGGCTAATATTAGGCGGAAGAGGCAATTTCCGGAGGTTTTAGATTACTTAGCTACGTAATAGAAGCCCGGAGGGAATTATATATATAGCTAGTCGCCGCCTATATCTAACGAGTCCCCGGCGGCCGAGGGCTTTAGAAAAATAGGAATAACCTTAATTCGATAAACTAGTTTACTCCTTCTTAATCTAATACTTTTACTAATCTTAAACCTAAATAGAATCGTCTATAACTTAATAAGTATAAACCTAATAAGTAATTTATATAAAGAAATAGAGAGACTTAACAATATTACCTATAACGCCTTACTATCGCTACCTTTACTAATACTAAGAACGTCTATTCTAGAAGTTAGAGTTTATATAGTAAGTATATTCGATACTATAGGCTCCTTAATAACAGTACCTACTACGGTAGTTACGCTAATTTTACGTATAGTATTACTAATACCTTAACTAGGAGCGGACGGGTTCTATATCTTTAATAGTATAAATATTACTACTTTCCTTAATTATTACAAAGACCTCTTTAACGATAATAGCCGAATAGACTAAGATAAGCTTAATCGGATTAACCGCTACTATAATCTCGAGCGTAGTTAAACGATTTAAAGTCTACTAGGCTATATTTCGAAGGATTAGAAAGAATTAAAGAAGGATATAAAGTACGAGTTTAAGGGCTATAATACTATATAGATTATAAACTTAATTATATTCTTAGAAAAGCTAAAGAATAAGAAGCGGTAGATAGGACTAGATATAATAGTATACGTTAAGTAATTTGTAAGAATCTCGAGGATTTTAAAGAATAAATATATAATCGAGGAGTATACTAGAAGTCGTTAGTTCTTATAGGGCCTACCTAAACCGCTAAGAGTAAAAGTAATTAGTAAGAATAAGGTGTCCTCTAACTA